TTGGACTAAATTGGACCCAAACAGTAAGTAATTTTCTTGTGACATTTTAATGAATTTGAAATTCTAGAATTGTTGAATATTCATTATCATTGTTGTTTAATTAGAAAGACAATACTTTTAATGCATCTATTATCTTGAAAATTAAAGTAGTGTTGCACTTTTAAGCCATTGTTATGTTGAAGTCGCTGTTGTAGATATACCCTCAATCCAGCTAACCAAATTATTTATTGCAATTTGTTGAGGTAAGAGAAAAAGATAGCAAGCGAATCAACCAAGAGTCGCATGAAAGAGTTTGAATTGGTGTTGGCGACCATATTACATCACTTTGCACAATTAATTAATTAATAATATACTAATAACAATTTGTGTACATTTTTTTATAATATTATATGCAAGTAGTGACGTATATGCAACCCTAAGAGTTGCAAATAATCATTAAATACAATTGTTAAAATATTATGACAAAAACATGCATAGATTTATATAATAATTGAACAAAAAAGTTATACTCATAATAAATATTAAACATAATCTTTATGTTTGAGAATCAATTGAACAAAAAAATTAATCTGATGAACTCGTGACTTATATCACACCGACTCTGGATATATTTTGTATTTAAGTAGAATCATCTTAACTAAAAACTTAAAGTGATGTTTGAGTCTCAAAAATAAGGTGATGTTAAAGAATAAGTTCTATATTCTATCACTTTCAATAATTTTACAAGCGTTATCCTATATACTAACAATGATGCATACCTACACGTCACTAACATAGTAGAAGGAATCTATATATTTGATGATCATCTATATGTAGGTTAAAATTATTTTGCATTGTGATCACAAATGCATGTGCATGGATTTTGCTCGTTCGCTCCTTCCACGAACCTACGTGCAAATACCCAAAAAATCTTTAGACTGTTGCATGCATGCTATAAAAGAATATATAGCATATAAACACAACTATGTGCATGGTCCCATGCATATCTATAAGTTTATTATTATTAGGCAACTTTTGTACAAAATGTTAAAATTCAAATTAACAAAAATCATGGCATTTGGGAATTCCACATTTTGTCTTTTACCTTGAATTCGAGTTTATTTTGACACCATATATATAGCATTATAGTGTGATTTGTCAAGCAAAAATATACTATATGATATAATATTGAAAAGAAACAACGAAATTAGGGAGTTAAAGAAGGAAGCTTCCCAAAAAGGTATAACGGTCTTATTTTGTGTTTGTTTTTAAGGTCATGTCACTATTAGTTGCTGTCCATGAACATGAACATATGTAGTGGGTCGCTGAAATCTCTGATCTTTTTCATATGAGTTGCTATCGTTATCACTTCTTGTTGAAGGTTCGTTATTGTTTGATCCTCTACCTCAATCATATCTATGTCTAAAGTTACCCCCCACACACAAGTGTACAGTCACGATGATACTCGGAGTATGATGTATGTACCTATTTTATCCATCTAGTTTATAATACGAGCAGTAGTTACATAATTTTAATTAATTTGTATTAAGATTGAGCGATGAAATTCAATACTGTATTATGTTATATATTACTCCCTCTATCCCGTAATACTTGACACGGTTTCTATTTTCGTTGTGTGTCCCACATTACTTGACACATTACTAATTATGGAATGAGACCACTAATAAAAAAATATTTTCCCCCATTCTCTCTCTTTTCACCTACCCCGCTTCCACCCCACTTATTGTTTTCTTACAATATAAAAAGTATAAGAGAATGAGAATGATACAACTGTATATTATTAAAAGGGTATAAATAATAAAAGTGGTAAGAAGAAGCCTTATCAAGTAAGAACGAACATCTAATGGCCCTATTTGGTGGGATATAATAAGGCAAAATTAAGTTTCCCTCTTTGTTAGAAAAAAATCGCCTTCTTTGAGCTATATTTTTGTAGTGTGGGTCAAGATAGTCAAGGTTAGTAGACAAAGCCTTTTGGTAATGGGAGGAGGGGGTAAAGGTAATAGAGTATATAAAGTCCTTTAACAAAGGGAATCTCCACCACCCCCCACAGTGCCCATGTAATGGGGTTTGATCCCACAATTTTGAGATTGTAAGGTGTAAACTTCACTACTATGCTAAGTCCTTACAGTGCAGAGAATAGAGTTATCGGGTGCAAATCGATGTTTCATTATTTACAAAATTTCTAAAGCTTAATACTTAGCTAGCTAATACGATGTGATGAGATTGTTTAGTCCCCTTTCTTTTAATCCTTTGTCATCAATTAAATTAAAGACCAAGAAACCATTAACAATTGTAAGTCAATCTTTTAATCAACAAGCATAAACAAATAAAGTTTGAAGATATTTTTGTTTCATTTAAAGACTAAAACACCATTTAAAAATATACAGTATATGAGTACTTTTTTTATAAAAGGAAAAATCAAGAATGGCTGAAAATTTGTATTGGTTGATCATTTCTCCCAATCTAGTACGTACAGGTAGTATGACTACTCTAGTAATATCAATATTGTTGTTCAAATTTATAGAGAAGAGTACGTTGTCTTGAATAGTACAATAAGGTCAAATCATCATCATCAATTGCCTCCATATACTAATTAAGTTTGTTAGGTCTTCTATCCTTATCACTAAACCATGAAAAGTATAAACTCTATTCAATATCAAAAACTCTAAATGCATGCCTAAATGTTAGGTACCAAACATCTAATGAAATGCCAATTTATTAGATCCGTAGATCATTTCTCAGTGAACTATGGATAAATGACTAAAAAAAAACACAGAATGTATTTCTCAGCGATCTTTTCGGGGTTAAAGAGCCAATAGGACGGGTGATAAGAATCGATACCAAGATTCCTTAGAATTGAGATCCTGTTAACTACTACTCGACTCCTCATATATTCACATTTTATGAATGAAGTACTAGTAAATGTTACATAGTATTGTATTTGAACTATATGATTATTTAGGATGTTTTTACGGTGGTCATTTGAAATATGACTATCATTATTTTAATTAAATGATAAACAATGTGATCGATTCATTTTTTCCACATTATAGTATGGACACAATTAGTCTTCTTATGTCTACAATCTTATTATAAGTTTTGAAAATTTTAATCCAACATAAAATAAATATTTTTCGAGACTATAAAATAAAAATAAAAATTATATAAATGAAACAAAAAATTTGGTAAATAAAAAAAATGTTGATAACACTATTTTATACCAAAAATTAAATAATATAATTTATTAATTGGAGAGAAATATGTCAATCATGAACTACATAACCATTAAAATATTATTATGGTATTCATATTTCAAACAACCACTACAAAATTTTCTGATTATATGAGTTTAAGATAATTATATGTTCATCTCATACTCCTACACTCTTGTTGATTAATTAATTGAGCCCACAATTAATTTTTTCCATTATCCCAAAATCAATGCCAAAGCTTGATACAGAGTAGGATATAATTACGACAATGATCCAAATAATCTCAAAAAAACATTATCTTGTAAAATCTTGTTATATTTTTCCCATAAAATAATATATATTTTATTTATTTTAATCAAAACAATGTTTCATAATTATCACTACGAAATAATTTCAAACTAAAGATATTTTTAGTCAAATATGTGCATTATTAGACATGCATGATACAAAAATGCAAATGAATTTTTTTTAAAGTACAGATATTGTATAGTACGGAGTACTATAGTGTGATTAGTGTCGACAAAAATTTATACTGTATGTTACTCCGTATATAGTAACTAGCTTGACCATTAATGTAAATGGAAATGTGAATGGAATATTTTTTTTTTGTACGGAGTACCTTCCTTTGCATAGCCGATATTAAATGTGCCCAATTGCCCATCAATATAATGGCATGGACCAAGCCATGTCTTTCTTTTTTACTCGTAATTCTTGTTCGTTGCTTAGAGATGCAATTTTGAATGTTGAGGTAGGTCACATCAAATTATACCAAAATTTTATAAGTAATTTACTGGTCTATATATCTTTCTTTGTCCATTCAGAATCAAGAGATTAACTTATGGGGTATATATATATTGAATTATTGATGCATTAATTGATATATATGGTTTCTAGTACATATAGGGACATAGGGCATTAGGGCACGCGGTCAAGCAATGCAAACTACTATTCCATATTCGATAGCAATGGAAAAGATATATAGCCCATATAGGATACGCGTACTATACACGGCTTGACATGTACACGTAATACTTTAATATACTGGTTTGTATATACATATGTACGATCTACTAAAAACTTTACCATATGGCATATGTGTAAATGTACACCTACCTCTATGCATATGTGTAAGTGTACATCGATAATTGTTAGAAAAAATCACTAATAATGTTAGTGGTCACGGCCTTGGAACACAAGTTCGTGATCAATTTGATATATCACTTCAAATACTGTTATTAGGCATTGAAAGCTATATATACATGATAGTCTTGTGAATGGTTTCATTCGATCAAAGCACTAGAGTTATCAAAGAATATAACATGACACATACACAAATCAACTTGAATTCAACTCAGTAAGATAAAACTTGTCATATTATACCATAATTCCTACATAATCTTTGATTTATTTGCTGAATAACTCAAAATTAACACAAAATCAAACGTGTACCCGATTCAATCCATTTGTCATCTCTAAACAATCAATATGGAACATTTGACCTCTTTAAAAATTGCGAAATGCCCTAATCCACCATTATACTTATTATAGTATCCATTATTAATGATCAAGTTTCCTAATCCATTTGATATACAATCTTATTCTTATCGTATCTAAACAATGTTATTATTATTATTATTATCACTAATTCCAAATATTATAAAAAAAAATGACTTCCAAGTCCAAGTAATGCAAGTTGACGTGGACAGACAAATGAGTCACCATTGACACGTCAAACTCAAAAAACGAATAAAGCCGCGTTTGTTTGTTTGGACGACCCTTTCTTCTTCTTCCTCCTACCTTTAACGCGCTTACTCTGGACCCCACCTTTTCTCTCTCCTCAAAATTCTGGGTAAAAATTCTGAAAGATTAATTTTTTTTTTAATTTTCCATCCAAAACAAACAACCCCTAGTGTAGAAACAAGAACACAAATCTTGAGGAAGAAGAGTGAAGTAGTACTATTATTTTCTCTCTCTGTCAGGATATGGGGAGATGGAGATTGTGTTTGAGTAACAACAGAAATTATTTTGGATTCTATTTGTTTTTCTTCAATTTTTTAGCTATATATAATTACCCACAATTGGTTTTGTGTTTCATGTTGTTTTCTGGGGTTTGCACTCTATGTGTTTGATGAAATGTCTCAGAAAAGAACCCAGGATGATTCTTCTTCTGCTTCTGGGTTTAGTAAGGGTAATTTAGAGGGTGTTCATATTCCTGATGATAAGCGTCATAAAAGTGTTCCTTCTTTTAGAAGGTGAATTCTTTTTTCTCTTTTGTTTTCTGGGGTTTTGTTTGTGTTTGTTTTGATGGTGAATTTGCTTGGTTTGGTTGTTTTTGGGGTGGAATTAGGTTGTGGGGTTGACTTGATTATGGCAACCATTGATACTCATTTGAGGAAACATGCACCGATGATTATTTCTTCTTTACTTTGATAATTATATGTATGATAGTAGTCCGTTCGTCCACAAATAATCGTCCAATTAGGTTTGGGCGCGCATATTAGAATAATTGAAGTAGTATTATATGGGGTTTATAGTGCTTTTTTGTGCAATTTGGGGTTACTGAGGTAGTGAGTGTGGCTTGAATATGGTAATTAAACATGTAGTGATGAAAATGTAGAATTCAATTACTTTTTCGACGTTATTGTTGATAAATCACATACCTTTTTGCTATGAGAAATTGTTTTACTTCCTAAATTTGGTTGCAATAAGTTGATTCTTGTACATACTGTGATATTAGAAATGATTTTCTTTTTGTGGGGTGAGCACTGGGATCAGAAAATTTAGTGAATTGTTCAGAATGAGAGTACTATTAGACATTATTGGAGTAGTTTACATTGTCAAAGTGGACTAGTCTTTTAAAAGAATATATATATATATATATATATATATATATATATATATATATATATATATATATATATATATATATATATATAAGCATTTTAAAAGAGGATTTTCATGGTGTTTATATGATTTTCATGGGCCATCATCAGTCTCCCTAAGTTCAAAGCTAATTAGTGCAATTATGCAATAGTTTCTTCTGTGAGAATTCACTTGGCATGCATGTTAGAGAGCTCATAATTTAACAGTTAAAGGTTAATGTAGAAGTGAATGCTTGAGTGACTCAAGTTGGGGGGAAGGAAATAATTTCAACGATATTTACAGCACTTAAGAAGGTTAAGTGAGAGGGAGCACTCTCTAATAGTGTAGAGTGCGGAGTGCCTGAATTTACCAAAAAAAGGAAATGAAACTTCCATTTGGCTTTCTGTCAGACTGTCACAATGTTGATGTCTTATCCATGGAAGCTTTGCTTACATCTTTTGCATCATTCAGAATGTGGTTTATGCTGGGTTCTAATTATTTGGTTTAAGAATTGTTAATTCATTTTGAATATTAGTAATCATAGTTATATGCAATAAAAATTAACGATGCTTTTCTTTAACATTTTAGTGTGGTTCTGGAGGTGATGAGACAAAAGAGCTTTCAAAATGCATTGGAGCCTATGCTTCGTAGAGTTGTAAGTTCACTGAAATTTCTATTTTTATCTGTAGACTATGGAACATATGTTTGATGATTTTAGGATGTCACTGAGAATCACCGTTTTATTTTGTCTGCCATTTTTAAAAAAATATAATCAAGCCAGTTCATTCACAAGTAAATATGCAACAAGACTTTTCTTGATTTACTCTTGTTTCCAATGCATTGGACTATTTGGTCATTTTGTCTTGTATGATATTGGTTGCTATACCAGTTGCCAATTGTTAAAGATAAATGCTACTCCGTAATTGCTATTTGGTGGTTTCAACAAATTGGTTCGGATTGTGAAAAAATGTAATTTTAAACTTAGATAACCCTACACAGCCTACAGTTACTATATTAGATAAATTGGTGGCTCTTCTGTCAAACTTATCTCTGATACCATGATATATGGATTTTCTTGCATGTGTTTAGGTCAAGGAAGAGGTAGAGTTAGCAATAAAGAAGCATGTCATGAAATTGAAGCGGTAAGAAACTGTCTTTTGATGACATTATTGGCTAAAAGATGGCTATAGTATTAGTGAATTTGATTAACCGCCAGAGATGACTATTTTAACATAATTCAATCTTCTGAATTTTTCTTAGGAATTCCGATGAAGATTTATTTCCTTGTGAATCTAGAAACCTGCAGCTAAAGTTTTTGAGCACTCTCTCTCTGCCTGTGTTTACTGGAACCCGAATTGAAGGCGAAGATGGATCTGCAATAAAAGTTGTTCTAATAGATGCTGCTACTGATGAAATTGTCCGGTATGCTAATGAATCCTCTGCAAAAGTAGAGATTGTAGTTCTTGAAGGTGATTTTGATGGTGATGAGGGCGAAAACTGGACAATAGAAGAATTTAAAAACAATATTGTGAGAGAACGGGAGGGAAAGAAACCTCTTCTAACAGGAGATGTTAATGTATATCTGAAAGAGGGCAGTGGTTCTGTTGGTGAAATTTCTTTCACAGATAACTCAAGCTGGACACGGAGCCGCAGATTTAGACTAGGGGCCAGGGTTGTTGGAAACTCTGATGGATATAGGATTAGAGAAGCAAAGACAGAATCCTTCATTGTCAGGGATCATCGTGGAGAATGTGAGTACCTTGATTTCTCTATATTTTTTTTATTTATATGGGAAATCTAAATATCTGTATATATTATCTGTCCGAAGAACCTTCACTAGAAGATGCCACAATGCAAAACCTTTGTAATTAGCTTCAGTGTATGACTGTATTCATATATGTATATGCTTTTACTGACCTACACGTAACTGTCTTCTCTTATAGAGTGGTCTGGGAGTTTTATCTGCTTATATGAAGTAAAAAACAATGCTTATTATACAGATTTGTTTGTTTACTCTATAGAGATTGCGTCTATAGCAATTGCAAATTGTTGTTATATAATGTGTTCATTGAGTTGATATTGGATGATGGTTAAACACAAAATATATATTGATGATTATTAGTGTCATATCTTGAGGATTAAGCAACCTTTTTATACTTACCATGTTGTATAAGAAAGCTATCGGGCCTTTTTGCAGTGTACAAGAAACACCATCCTCCATCTCTAACTGATGAAGTTTGGCGTCTGGAAAAGATTGGAAAAGATGGAGCATTCCACAAACGATTGAGCATAGACAGAGTGAGGACAGTGAAGGACTTCCTGATTTTGCTCCATCTAGATCCTGCAAGGCTAAGGAATGTAAGAATCTTGGACTTATATACCTGACATAAATTTCCATCTAAGAATCTACAATTAAGGAGTATATATATATATTTTTTGTAACACCTTCTAAGCTAGATTCTTGATTTCCTCCTCACTATCGTGTGATCAAATATGATTGAAACTATTCATGCCTATATATGTACTTCTTTGAGTGTTCTTTGTGCATTTCTTTTGTGCTTGGCCACATGGTTTATCTCTCATAAGTTGTTCTTGGACATATATTCAGATATTGGGCTCTGGTATGTCTGCCAAGATGTGGGAAATAACCATAGAGCATGCTCGGACATGTGTACTTGACAAAAGAGTATACTTGTATTATTCACCTATGTCTCAGCACAAGAATGGTGTAGTCTTCAATGTTGTGGGACAAGTAATTGGATTTTATTCGGAAAGCCAGTACATTCCATTTGATAAGCTATCCGAAAATGACAAGGCATGCTTTCTAACTTTAAAATGTAAGATGCCTCTTTTTTCTATGTGTACTTGTATGTCAATTCTAACAAAATTTCGATTGACTTCCTTTCCAGATTGATGCACAAAGAATGGCCACTGAAGCTTTTCAACATTGGGATGGAGTGATTACATTTGAAGATATGAACTCCCTCATCGGTATGTCTTCACACACGGTAAGCTCTGCGAGTACAGAGACTTCAGATGCAAATAAGCTTGGGACTTCGCAAAAGATAGGCAGTATTGATTATGCACAACCAAGCACATCTCCTTCTGATGGTTTCTCTCCTCTCTACACATTGGGAAGCTTGAACAGCCCAGATAATTATTCCTTGCCGGGTTTAGATGCCTTAGACCTGAGATATGACCATACTCTTGATATACCTTTACAAATCTCTAGTTCCTTGTTTTCCCCTTCTCACTCCATAACACAAGCTCTCCATGATGATGAGCATCTAGGGTTCATGGACATCGATTGCCCTGCTATGCAGTCTACAAGCATGATTTTGGACTCACAAGCTGAATTACAGAGTGTATATAGTAGCTTCTTAAGGCCTCAACCTTCTAGTCAAGCTGTTAGGGGACAAGCTTACAGAAGGTGGAGAGTTGTTTCGAGTGTTCTAAGATGGCTTGTTAGACGAGCACCTCGCCCCAGGATACAAAGATATCGCTAGAATTTTTTTTTTTTTGGCTGGAGATTGCAGATATAGGAGCTAGAAGTTGCCGTCAGGCACAAATTCACGTCCTTTCATAATGTGAGAGGTACGAGACTCTATTGGCTGTATATATCACCTGTAAATTTAGGCGATTCTTGAGAGATACCTTTGGAGTAATTAGATGGTGCAGGAATATCACGTCATCAGCTCTCTAATTGCGAAGCAACACAATTAGATACTTATGAATCAAGCCTGATCGGGTAAGATGAATGTTGTGTATCAACTCATGAGTGGTCGGGACAATGGATGGCATGGTGATTAAGGTAGTTTTTTCTTTTACTTCTGAGAATGTGGGTTTATGTAAATATTAAAGCCCCTATTTTGAGAAAGTAGGTTACTAAATTAGGTCTTGTGAATGATTTTCATCAATTGAAGTCAAAATCTTTTGAACGTGGTGTTTGTATAGAATCATTTCTGCGAGCAATAGAGCCCGCTAAACTTTATGTTTAAGTCGAGGCTCGCAACCTAATGAGAAAATAAATAATTGCTACATATCCTTATTTTGATCATATGGTACTAGCTTTTCATTTTTAATTCACCTTGGCTTTAAACAACCAAATCTCTCTCTCTTTTTTTTTTTTTTTTTGGTTCACTCTTGATTAACAATTATTCACTAATATATCTTGCTTTGTATTCACCTTTAATCTACAAACCTCATATCTTCGTTTACTCCCTTCAATTTACGGGAGTATTTTTCCTCCTAAAGTCGTGTGCGAAAAAGCAAATGAGACTTTTATTCAGAGACCGAGGGAGTGCACATCATAGTCAGGAATGGCCTGCATCAGTCAATATATTATCCATCAGCGTCAGGGATAACATATTATGACTTGAGTTAACAGACAAAAATATAAGAAAAGTAAAAGAAAAGAAAAGTCAAGTTAAATAAAGTGTAGAAATAATTGAGCTAAAAGTTTGGTGCTTAAGATAAAATACATGACTGGTACTAGACTACTAGTGAACAAGAAGAAAAGAAACAAACTCATTCTGTCAAATTAAACAGCATAGAAATGGAGGGTGAAAATTCAAGGCATGTCATGGTCCTAACATACCCAGCACAAGGCCACATAAACCCCCTTCTACAATTCACCAAGCTTATGGCCTCAAAAGGTATCAAAGCCACCTTAGCTACCACTCGTTACACTGCCTCCGCCATCCAAGCCCCTGGCATAACCATTGAGCCCATTTCTGATGGTTTTGATGAAGGTGGGTTCAAGCAAGCTTCAAGTCTACAAGCCTACTTACACTCTTTCAAAGTCATAGGCTCAAAGTCACTTACTGAGTTGATTGAGAAGTTCAAGAGCTCTTGTTATCCTGTTGACTGTTTAGTTTATGATTCTTTACTGCCTTGGGCACTAGATGTGGCTAAGGAAATGGGAGTTTGTAAAGCTGCTTTTTTGACAAATTCTGCTTCTGTTTGCTCCTTGTATTGGTACCTTCATCATGGTCTTCTTTCTCTGCCTCTGACACCTGATAGTTTTCCTCTGGTTTTGCCGGGACTTCCTGATCTTCGGTCTTCTGACTTGCCTAGTTTCATCGCGCACCCTTTGGAATTTTCCGAGTATCTTGGATCAATCATGGAGCAATTTTCTACTCTGGAGGAAAATGATTGGGTTTTTATCAATACATTTGCAGAACTGGAAAGCGAGGTATGCCTGTGATTAGCGAGGTTTTTTTTATCAATACTGTAGTGCTGTACTGTAATTTTATCCCAACTATCAGAAATACTTTTTAAGAAATTGTCATGGTTTTATAAATATAGAATAGGCAGATTTACTGTGGCTATAAATAATGAAGTATGAATATAAGCAGACGTAATAATGAAATGATGTGAGGTTTCTTAACAGTGGTAAAAGAGGATCGAAAAAATCCCAGTAATTTGGGATCAAATGAAGTACTAACCTGATCTATCCTGTAAGATGACTAATTTTGAAGAAGAGGATAAATTATCAATCTATCTTAGTTTTTATCTTATGAAGTCGAAAAGTTGTGCTGTAGACTCTTGCTGAAAAAATGACATCCGAGTAGTTGATACTGCAGATGTGAAGAGTTTCCCATTCACTTCTCTGTTTATTTTAGTTTTTTTGGTTCCTTGTTCTAGATAGACAAGGCGATGTCAGAGAAATGGCCATTGAAGATGGTTGGACCGATGTTGCCATCTGCATACCTAGGACAACAAATGGAGGACAGAGAATACGGAGGAAGTCTGTGGAATCAAGCCACAGAAAACTGCTTAAGATGGCTAGACACAAAACCCTCTAACTCAGTAATTTACATCTCCTTTGGAAGCATGGCAGAGATACCAGGAAAACAGGTAGAAGAACTAGCCTGGGGTTTGAAAAACTTGGAAAGCCCTTTCCTTTGGGTTTTCAGGGAATCAGATAAGAAGCTACCTCCCGAGTTTCTCACATCACACAACGATGAAGTTGGAATAGTTGTATCATGGTGCAACCAGTTAGAGGTGCTAGCCCACCGAGCCACATGCTGTTTCATCACACACTGTGGGTGGAACTCAATGTTAGAGGGCCTGAGTCTTGGTGTGCCTATGCTAGCGATCCCTCAATGGAGTGATCAGCCAATGAATGCGAAGATGATGGAGGACGTTTGGAAATTGGGAGTGTGAGCCAAGAAGGGTAGTGAAGGCATTGTAAGTCGGGAAGAAATAGAGAGGAGTGTAAGGGAGGTTATAGCAGGGTTAAGCAGCGAAGAAATAAGGAAAAACTCATGTAGCTGGAGAAAGCAAGCTGGTAGGACAGTAAGCAAAGGCGGTAGTTCTGAGATAAATATAGACAAGTTCTTGCAGACACTGCAGAAAAAATTGAAGCACAAAGCTATAAGCAGAGAATAAACAATTAATGTGTACTTTGTATATGCCATATTAGTTGTACAATATAGATCTCCAGTTTCATTTGAATCTACAATATAGAACTTTCTTTATGTATACATGAGCTACTTTCATAAGTATGAAATATATAGTGGGATGCTTCACTGCTTTTAACTGCAAGGTTGTCAGTGGTAAGTGTTGTTTTGACATCCTGATCATTCCTGAAGCTCTGGAAATCTTCACATTTTGCAAGAGTTGCTGTCATTACACATTTCATCCTGTAGGAAAAAGAAGTTAATCTAGTTAAGGAGTGCAGAATTTGATTTAATCTACTTTAGCAGGAAATCAGATACCATAAAAGCTACTTAAACAAGACGGCTTAGAAAAGTACAAGTGATTGTCAAAATACACACACACATACAGGCAGTAAGTTTGACTTTATAGGATGTTTAAAGCATTCAATGGCATAAACTTGTAGGATTTTCTCATAAATTATATTGGGTTATATAGGGGGTGTGACATACTGAATTATTAGGAATGCAAGATAAATAAATAAGGTGTTTGCTGTTTAGATTAGGTATTTTGTAAAGAAAAGGCTATCAATTCAAAGCATTTATATGGCAGCTGAGTATACCTTCTTCCTTCTTGATTCAAGGATCTCTTCTATAGGCGGCCTGCCTGAAATTACAAAAATATTTCATTGTCATGTATAGAATCATGCAAATTAGGCCTGCAGCATCTGAACTGATTTTCTGAGCTTTATACAGCATTCTTGCAGCAATTTCAGTAGGTTAGTATGAGTTACCTGTTATCTGAAGACGGTATTTGGCCCATACACCGTAAACTGCTTCTGCTATAGTTGCAACCTGAGCAAGAAATAATTCCCTACTAGCATTAACACAATATGTAAAAGTAAAAAGTCTGATGGACTGAGAACAGGTGATGCTTACAGGCTCAAATTTCGTGATTGCGTAAACCCATCCAAGGCCAACAGCCTCATACAGTTTCCTGAAAGCCTGCAGTTAATTTTATTAATGTAGCTCTATGTTTATTGGAGAGACTTTCCATACAAAACGATACTTCAAAAATCACTGATTATTGATAAGCAATTGAAAAGTACCTCAACATTTGTTACTACGGTTCCATCAGCAAGAATGGCATGAATTTTACCCATAACCTACGAAAGACAGCAAGAAAAACTACATAACATCAGTTACATTCAAGTTTTTACTGCAGTTGCAACGCTAAGATCCCACACCCGAGAGCATGATTCATGTCACATTTAATCAAGAAATTGAGGGGGGAGAAAAGGGATAAATTACAGTGTTGTAATCAAGGCCTTGATTCTCCTCAGGTGAGTAATCTTCTGAACTAATATCAACAAACTTGATAGCTCCATACTGTTTATCCCTTTCTCTTAACATATTCACCTAATCATTCCAACCCATCACAAAAAAATATACAACATTTATTCACCATTTAACCATAGTATACCACCCTACATAAAAAAATTTCAATAACATTAATAGAATAAATGTAATTTATACCTCCCTCATACAAAGAGGGCAATCTCCATCATACAACATTTTAATTTTCCAATTTTGATCATAATCTTGCTTCTTTTCTTCATCTTTCTTGGGTGTTACTGGGTTCAATGTTGTATCTTGAATAGCACGAATCGAATGTCGAAAACCTTCAAATTATTCACCAATACAATCATTTCTGTTAGTATATACCATGAAATTTCATGGGCAATGATCAAATTCATTCCAAAATGATGTTAGAAGATGTAATTGCATTATACCAGGATTGGTTTGTTGAAGAGGAAATGAACGTTGGAAATGAGAGGGAGTCTTGGAAGTTGCAAAAATTGCTGCTGCTGTATATATAACTGGGTTTGCTCGTCTTCTTCCTATGGAAATTGCATTTCTGAGTGCCATACTTTTGCAATTTATGGAGAAAAAAAACTGATTTTTCAGGGGATCTTTGATTGTTTGTTATTAGTTTATTACTGTTATGGTGTATGTATTGATTTTATGAACATTTTTTTTTTTGCTGCCTATGGTTGTGTAACGTGGCAACGATTGATCCACGTAAAAGATATGTGTGCCAAAGGCCCAATCAACACGGTGGGTATGCGTCGAGGCCTTAGACCAATTTGGTTCATGTATTATGTCAACGGGACTCGATTTGAGCATATAAACGGGACTCGGTTTAAGCATATAACTCTTGAAACGGGCTAAGCAAAATTTGTGTGGTATTAGATTTTTGACCATCTTTCAAGCACGAGGATTATGCACAGCCCCAACGCACCTATCAAGTCACACCGTACCAAACTACCAGCAAACCCCTTTAATACTGTTGGTATATTTTCCTAATTGGTTAAAATGAGTAAGTCACCTCAGCATGCTCATGCGGTCATGCCCACATGACCATGACCACATCTAAATATGATGTGATGTCTATGCACGAGTGCACGACTTGCACTAAACTATGTTCATCTAAATTATGATCTCCATCCCCTGTTTTTAAAAATGTTTATATGATTGTTGTTAATTGACCCCAATCATTTTGAGACTAAGGTGCTGACGTGTTGTTAAATTTGTTATTGTTGTTTATATATTAATATCTTGAAAAATTTGCCAATTACAGCCATTTAAAGTTTGTATATTGCAAATTGCAGTCATTTAAAATAAAAATTGCAAGTTGCAACCTAAAACTACTAATAATTTGTAAATTGCAACTCAATTCTACTTTTTTATTGATTTATGTGCCGAAAAATGTCTTGTTAATGTTTTAGGGGCCATTTTAGCCTTAGGGATCTAAATTAAGCTCGAAATTGGAAAAAAAAATTAACGTAAGAGCCTCATTTTCACGATAAAAAGTAGTAACACACAAATTGATACAAATTTATACACAAAGTGAGTATATTTTAGAAAAGAAGGGGTAACAAATTCGGGGCGGACTGACTCGACGTCTCGAGTGAGTAATAATTCCGTGAAACGCTAAACATCGCCCGCAATTTACCATATAAAGCCCACAAATATGATATGGTTTGACCATTATGCCCTTTTTCTAAAATTGAAATAATCTCGGTGTAAAAAATGTGGAGCCGTACTGGCTCGCCGGGGGAGACCGGAGGGCAGGCCGGAGATGCGGGGGACGCCGGAGGTACGTCGTCGTCGACGAAAAACGAGGTAAGTCACCGGTAAAATTCACGGTTTACCGTCGGAGTGGCTCCGGCGCCTAGGGTGGACGCCCAAACCGTAGCCTGGACGTCCAAGCCAGACGCCAGAACCACCAGAGTGGCGTCTAGCCCAGACGCCCAGACCACTAGACTGGCGTCCTGGGCAGGCGCCACTCCACTGGGTGAGGCGGCCCTGCCAGGCGCCAGTCCAGTGGTTGTGGCAGCCCTGGCAGACGCCACCTTTAATAATTAATTTTTTTTTTTTCTTTTTTGATTTTGTTGTTGTTTTTTATTTAATTTTTTTGTAAAAAAAAATCGAAAATAATTTTTTAAAAAAATTCGAAATGGGTTTTTTTTAAATTAAATTTGAAAATTCGAAATAGGTTTTTTTAAAATTAAATTTGAAAATTCGAAATGGTATATTTTTAAATTTAGTTTGAAAATTCGAATTGGGTTTTTATAAAAATTAAGTTTGATTATATATAATTATGTTTTTTTTTGTGTTAATTCTGTGTAAATATAGAAATTAAATGTATTATCCGTTAAATGTATTTATTGTAATATATAATTGATGCAGGAATATGGTGGAGACGGAAATGATTACAGTGGGATATTTGGACATGATGGTCCATTCGAAGAAGCTCAACAGGCGATTGATTGGGCAAAACATGTTGCAATTGCAGCTGGATTTTGCTTGGTAGTAGTAACTCATAAATCTCAACAGGATGGTAGAATGGATCGCATTTTGAGATGTGACCGTTATCGCAAAAGAGAAGAAAAAGATTTTCGTACAGCCACTCGGTTTGATACAAAGCGGAAAGGTTGTGGGTGTGAGTTCAGAGTAAAGGTTCGACAACTACGGAGTCGTGACGGTTGGGAAGTGATTGGTTACTCTAAATGGGGGTATCACAACCATGAGATGATAGTATATGAAGAGGGTCATCGACAACTGAGCGACTTAAGTCCTGCTGCGAAACTAGTTGTGAAAGAAATGAGTGATGCTCAAGTGAAGCCTGCTAAAATATTAGCATCTGTGTTAGAGAAATTTCCAGAAGACCATCCAAACCGAAGACACATCTACAACGTCAGACAGCAACTCAGGTTTGAACGGTCAGAGGGAAGGAACCCTATACAGCAACTGCTACACCAGGCACAATCACGTGGTTACCTGTTCTGGTTTGATTCTGATGAAGATACAGCGGAGGTGACTCATCTTTTCCTTGTGCATCCTGATTGTGCTGATATGATCAAGTCTTGGCCATTTGTGATTTTGATCGACTCAACGTACAAGACAAACAAGTACAAGTTCCCACTGGTTGAGATGGTTGGGATGGCTCCAACGAACCAGAACTTTCTGATTGGTCATGCAATCATCAGGGATGAGACAGCTCCAAGTTATTATTGGGTGTTGGAGAAGCTGAGAAACTACATCGGGCCTAATGTTCATCCAGCAGCCATCGTCAGCGACTGTGAGGGAGGTCTCTTTGCCCCCATAGCAGAGCTGTTTCCCGAATCGAACCACTTATTGTGCACATGGCACATCAACAACTGCGTGAAAGTGAAAGCCTACAACCTTTTCAAGAAGAATTTGGAAATGGCAGAGAGATTGGTGAATGGTAAGTGGCGGAAGATCCTACAGGCTACCACAGAGGAAGCGTATGAGCGAGCATTGGCTAACTTCAGGGATTCGTACCAGTGGTGTCCGGCACTGGTGGACTATGTGATGCATCAATGGGTCCCTCACAGGGAAAAGTTTGTCAAATATTGGACAAACCAGGTACTTCATTTTGGGAACACTACAACATGTAGAGTTGAGAGCGCTCATAGAGCTACCAAGGACTGGATTGATTCATCGACCGCTGCTTTGGATACACTGTTCGCTAGACTGAACAAGTCAATTGAAACTCAGAAGAACGACATCAGGAACTCTCTAGAGGACTCCAGACGACGACATGGTACGATGTATAGCCATTTTATATTTAAGATTCTCCATGGTCGTGTGTCGCACTACTGCTTGGGGTTGATTCTCACTGAGCTGAACAGGGTGAGGGACTTGGCTGACGAAGTGTATGCTAGGTGTGGGTGTACTATTTCAGTAACTCATGGATTACCTTGCGCATGCACCATTCACCGCGTTATTACAGAAGAAAGGGCGTCGTTACATGTTGATCAGGTCCATTCATTCTGGAGGACGCTTGTTATTGGTGAGCATGCAGACAATCAAACGGCCGACCGTGAACAGGAGGAGTTGGAGCAGTTCCGTTCGATGTACGACCGAGTGTCCTCCAGCCATCCTTCTATTATTCGTGACGCTACTCATGTACTTCATGACATGTTCCACCCGTCTAGCTTAGATTATGAGGAACCCGAAGGAGTTGACCGTCCTCGAGGTCGACAACGGCGGAACAGGAGTGCGTTTGAGTATATCCGTGGTCTTGGTCGTGGTCGTTCTCGTGGTCGGACATCGTCATCTAGTCGTAGTCAATCTTCATCGTCTGTGAATATGCCCCTGAGAACTGGTACGTTTTGGTTGTTTTTATTGCACATAGTTTTAAAGTGTTACTCCTGCCTTCTTAACTGTCTATAATTATATGGTGAATAGGAAGAAACGATGTTGATCAGTTTCCGTACAAGGAAAGGATACCTGCGATCATCATGTCGTACTTGGAAGGGTGGAATGATGTAATCGGAGATGGTAACTGCGGATTCCGGGTCGTGGCTGATGTTTTTCAAATGGGCGAAGACAACTACGGTTTGGTGCGTGAGTTGATGTACAACGAAATTGCCTCTAACCGAAATGTTTATCGTCATGTGTACCAGGATGACTTGGATGGCGCTCTGCGGCGTATCCGGTGGGGAGGTGGACCTTGCGGCGAAAATCATTATTTTGACGCGCCCCTAGATCTGTTTGCCGTTGCAAACATTTACAAATGCGCAGTCATGCATTTCGGCCTGGGAGTGCATAGTCAAGCTTATTATCCTTGTACCACGAATCTCCGTTGGCGGTCGCGTGAGACTGTCACCACACCGGTCAGAGAGCTAGCTATTGCGTTTCTTGGGTCGTCATACAGACATTTCATCCGACTAGACATGTCAACCGATTTTCCAGTGCCACCGATTATACCTCGGTGGTACAACATTCGCACAGCGAGCGTAGAGGGTTGGGATGCGCTATATCTTGACCGGATCCACGAATGGAACACCCTAGCTGCATTTTAGTTTTTCATGTTCACATTCTTTATTTGTAATCTTATTTGTACGTTGCTCTTTTAATGAGAACATTAATATTTTATATTGTATTGCTTATTGCATTCTATATGTTGCATGGGTAAGTTGCGCGGATCCACGAACAGTTATATCAAAATTTAAAAACAGCACTGATAATATGTTTAAGTTGGAAGCTAAAAGAACAATCTAAAATGTTACAATTTTACAACATAATGTCCAACATAATGCTCTATAAATAAAATACAATAACCATCAGTAATCCCTCCTCGACGACGACTCCCACTGCGCAAGGGTCTGTTCCAGACTATCAACAACAACTCTCCCTGTTGCACTCATGTCGTCCTTCTCAAGAGAGAGTTTCTGTACGTCCTGCATTATCTTTCCCATCCACTGCATACAACAAAAAACAGAAGATGAAATACAATAACAACATATAAAACTTAATTAAAAGACAACGATAAATATAATAAAAGACATACCGCTTCCGTGGCAGTAGGCGGTGGCACATAATCATCATCGCTGTGGTCGAGATCAGCGATCAACCTCGGGTGCGAATACCGGTTGAACCATTCCATGTAGTAATGGTCACACATGGGAGTAACCCCAGAGGGCGGCCGCTGCAACTCCGCAGTCCATAAGCGGGCCACCATCGGAAACTGGTCCCACGTCCCGGTCATGATATCCGGCCATTCCACGACGTAGTCCCTCGACGATGCAGGTCGGACCGCCTTCATCGGGCACGCCGGGGGAGGAGGGACAACTTGGACAAATCCAAGCTGGCGAAGACAACGCTGGGGCATGTACGCCTCGACGATGTCACGATATTGAATGAGTCCCGTGTACAGGGTCCTGGGTACCCTAACACTAGGGTTCGGGCCGAAAGGCATCCAGTTCACCTGTACAATAACAACATATAAAATTTAATAACATGAATATAATATGTGCAAATAATAAAATGTAGACTCTATAAATAAACGTTACCTCTAAGGGGGACAGCCTGTCCAGCAATAACCGTATCGATCGGAGGCGGTCAACGGACTTCTTCTCCGAGCGCGGACTCCACGCACAAGCACGCGGCATCCCCTCATCAATAGGAACTGGGTCACGATGTGGTCGCAATGCAGGAAAGTACTCATATATCCAGGTCTGCAATAGAGTCAGACACCCAGTGATACCTGCCGCGTCAGCCCGACTCGCAAATCCTAGTTGGCGATACAAATACGCCAACGTAGCCGATCCCCAGGAAAACTGGCCTACACTGTCGGGGTCACACGCCTCTACTATGTCGCGTGGCCTGAGCTTTTTTCCGCCGCTCTTATCCGGAAACAAGGTACATCCGAGGAGTAGAAAAACATAAGCACTCAGCTGTGCGTCGGGCGTCCTACGTGCACTGGGGTACAAACACCGCTGCAACACGGATGCGATCTTCACACCTCCGTGTTCCCAAACACCTAGCGCCTCGGTGTACAGTGCAGCCCTGTCCACCGCCAACAACTCCGCCAGCGAATCTGCCTGATCCGCATCAGCCACAGCACAAAGTCGTTTACCCTCAACACGAATCCCCAGAATGGCCTCGACGTCATGTAACATTATCGTCATCTCACCGAACGGAAGGTGGAAAGAGTTTGTATCCGGCTGCCATCGCTCAATGAAAGCCGTGATCAGCGTACTGTCAATCTTATCGTGCATGGTGGCAGGAACGTGATTCACCCCAGTGCCCTCCAGTCGCTCGAACATCTCGCTCTCCGCCGGCCAGGCCTCAGCCCATGTACGCAAAAAGCTACAAGTCTTTTCCCGGGTATGACATTTCAACAACCCCGTAACTGAAGGCCTCTCCTGGTCCTCCCAAATACGGGAAGCTATGTGTCCTAGAAAGCTAGGAATCACACTCCCGTCAACAGGCCCACCGGGCACCTCACTCCTAACAACCCAAGAATCATTACCGGCCCTCGACCGTTTCCTGCTTGCCCCAGATACAGTGGACGCAGATGATGTGCCAGATCTACTAACAAACCTACCACCCCTACCCTTACGCACCTCCACCATATGCGTCTCGTACATGTCATCAACCCTCTGACTGAATGGACCGTAATCATCATACGGTCCACTGCCATCGTCCACATCCTCATCCTCATCTGCGCCCTCCTCCTGCTCCTCCTCCTGGTCACCCTCCTCAGCATCATCATCGTCATCGTCATCCTCATCCCGACGGTGGATCCGTTCTCTACGAACTGAGGCCGAAATACCACGGGATCTGACATGTCTATGCCCCGACCTCTCCACTGAATAACTTCTACTAAGAAGCTCTATATTCTTCCCCGCACCATGACGACCCAGTGAATTCTACACAAAATTTTAAAATATATAAACATACAAAAATTTATACGATAAATAATCATCATCGCAAATCAAATAAACTAAAAACATACAAATAATTGTAAACAAAATATAAACGTAGAAAAAATACAACGAAATTGAAAAAATTTATAAAAATAAACAACAAAATATAAAAACAATTCAAAATTATATTACACAAAAAAAAAAAAAATTAAATTAAAAACAATTTTTTTAAAAAAAAAAAAAAATGGGGGGGGGGGGCGCCCTGGCTGGACGCCCAGCCAGCGGTGGTGGCGCCAGCTGCAGACGCCGCCACCAGTTGGCTGGCGCCTGGGCTGGACGCCACAGCCACGGCTGCGACGCCTTGAATAAACGCCACAACCGTGGCTATGGCGTCCAGCCCAGGCGCCAGCCAACTGGTGGCGGCGTCTGCAGCTGGCGCCACCACCGCTGGCTGGGCGTCCAGCCAGGGCGCCCCACCGCCGTCACGGCGGTTTTTCCCCTTTTTTTTTTTTTTAAATGTACCTTTCCTCCTTGGGACATCCTTCCCTCCGCCGCCGCCGCCAATTCTTTGCCTTGCCGCCTCGACATTGCCGTTATTTGAATTTTTTTTTTTAGAGAGGTTGAAAGAAGATGAGCAATGAGAGTGTGAGTGTTGTTTATTTTAAGGTCAAGGGCAATTTTAGCAAAACAAGTGAATTTTGTGGGCTTTATGTAGTAATTTGTGGGCGATGTTTAACAAATCATGAGCCGAACCAAAAGAAGAACAACAAATTGAAAACTTTTACCAACTCCTCCTCCTCCCTCATCTCTACCATTTCAGAAGCTATTTTTTCCTAAAAATAAAAATAAAAATAAAATTCCAGAAGCTTTAAACTGAACTCCATCAATGGCGTCCTTTATCAAATCTTCAGTTCTCTCTCATCTCCGATCTCATCCTCAGGTAATCCACAATTCAATTCTTCTCTTTATTTTCTAGCTTTTGATTTTTAATTATCTGATGATCAAATGCGATTCATGGGTTGAGCAATTTATAGTTTTCATTGCAAATAACTTTTCTGGAAATTAGGGGAAAGAGAGTTTGTTTGCGCAGCCAAGCCGGAAGTTCCACATCGACCTCGGCGAGCGTGAGAAAGCTGTATGTCTTTCTCTCTCTCTCTCCTTGATTTTGAATCAATTTTGTTATTTCTTCAGATTTGTCGATCGTTTATGGAATGAATTTTTTTATTGATTATGTCTAATAAGCTTCTTGCTGCTGTGTGGAATGGATTGAATTGGGTATTAATTGGAGTTATTGATTGTAAAATCTCAAGATTAAATTGAATTGGGTATTAGTTGATATTATTGATTTTATTTAATAGTATAGCAAAGATGTTAAATTGGTTACATCATAGATGTTTATTGGAGGGTTTGATGATTATATTGAGCCATTGAGGATACAGGCAAATTAGGTTTTGGAAAGTAGTGATACCAGTAACTTGATACTTGTAAAGTTGTATATGTGTTTGTTGACAGTACCAATATTTCGGAATGTACTTGCATAATTGGTGTTTTGAACCCAAAGAGACGGCCTTGCTTGCTTGTTTGTTCCCCCATATGTCCAACACTCCAACCCTCCGGTATCCAGAAAAATCTGAAGATTCTGAACAGGCCCTTTCATGCAACAACCTAGATAGCGGATTTGTTGGATTTTACCCTCTATGTAAGGCTAACCCAAGCTTCTACATCATTTGCTTAGCTACAGTCAATGGGGCTTGAGAAACTCAAACACTAAGATCATTAAACATAATGATCATTACCAAGCTTCAGCCAATTCTAGCATCATTAGCAATGATTATTTTGATTTAAAAGGCACAATATGTACTGGTGCACTAGAGTTCAAAGTGTCCTCATGTCAATTCTAAGGCGCAAGGTGTGAGGCATAGGTGCATGGATCATTGACTCTAGGCATAAATGTTTCAATAGTATAATTTTAGATTGTTTGACAACATTTTGTCTAATATGAAACACTTAATTGCTATTATGTTGCTGAATTGTAGTTTCTTTCCCTCAATTAGCCATCTATTTTTAATATTGATAAAGAAACGGAGAATAACAGAAGGGTTGGATTTGGTGAACGTGATCTTTCTTGATGCCCTCACTTAATATGGGCTAGACTCTAGAGTTTAGTGACTCCATGAAAGGTGTCTTGTCTTTTGAGGCTTTCTTTTTAAAAATTAAGTCAGTAATCTTGCTCTTGGAATAATATATAACTCCCCCCCATCCAAATTTAATTCAATTAACAATTCTTAGGAAAAATTTACATGATTAATCCCAACTATTGGCGGTCTTCCAATATTAATCCCTACTATGTGTTATCTTAGAATAATCTCATCTATGAGGGGTCTCTTCCAAAAGTAATCTGGTGACCAGTGTTAACCGTTTGAGCAGATTACTTGTCTAGGTGGCATATTATGATTTGCTTATAATGAGATCATTTTATTATCTTATGAAAAAAAAAAAAAAAAAAAAACAGCCTTCTGTTAACATGGGGATAACAAGGGCCAGTTTTTGTTGATGGACTGCAAATTAAAGTTGAGACCCATGGTGCCACGGTGGCTGCTCATAGGGGTGCCTTGGGTTTGGTGGTTGATGATTGTTGTTGATTGATGTTTATACATTGCTTTTGAATGAATAGGAGAGAAAGAATCTGGGGAGTAAAAGGCAAGAGAGGGAGAGAGAGAGAGAGAGAGAGAGAGAGTGCAATGGAGTTATGAGGGAGAACGCTTGGCTGATGCTAGTAGGTGAAGGGAGCAACACGTCAGTCATTTGTGAGGGGTAGTTGAGTGGGGTGTGGAGTTTGGAGGCCAATAAAGAAAGCGGTCAATGGTGGCTATTTGTTTGAACAAAAGAAAGGAGGGTGTCGAGGATGAATGGCGGTTGATGTTGGCACTAAGGTGGAGAAAGTTAGTAAGGGAAAGAGAGGTGACTAGTTGGTGAAAGGGGTGGGGTGGACTGCCGAACTGGTGGTTGTAGAGCTTTTTTTTTTTTCAAGTGGTTGAAGAGCGGGGAAAGAGCAGGAGAGAGTTAATTTTTTGGAAAATAATTTTTTACCTTCTTAACCGGTTTCAAGTCATCCGTATTAATTTCGGAAAACACCCCTCATAGTTGGGATTATTCTAAAATAACTTGTAGTTGGGATTAATATGGGAAGACCATCAATAGTTCAGATTAATCATATGAATTTTTCCCAATTCTTATATGAAGTACATGTCCTGGACTCATGAGTATGTAGCTGAAACTACATTGGAACCGTGGACTAGGATTTATATTTGTCTCTGATTTTGAAATGGCTATTCCATTGATAATACTAAGTGACTTACTTCCTCTATTTTCTTAGTTTGTTCCCTATTGACTTTTGACACAATACACATACTTCACTTTAATCATCATTAACTAATTATATACGAAGTTCATAGAAAAACAAAGTAATGTTGGATCTTGTTAGACAGGTCTCAATGTATATTTTTAAAAAAACCAACTTTTTAAATATGTACTAATTGGGAGTTAACGTTAACTTCGATATTAAGGGGCAAAATTGTGCATTGGAAAACGTGCACAATTAAAGTGGAATAACTAAAAGAAAGTAGGGAAGTGTAATACTTCGTATTAAATTGATATCATAATTTACACTTACTAGTGCATTAATATTATAGAATGACTTATATATGATTTATAATTTGCTTTAGAGGAAAAATTTGCTTTAGCTTATACCCTATCATGGTGTTTGACTTCTTATTGGTTTGTGACCTTGTCGTTAACAAGTGCAGCAGGTTTACTGGTGCAGATGTAAATTATCTTTAATCAAGTCTCACAGTTAGTCTTGTTTATGCAGTTATTTTCATGTCAATCCTATGTTTGCTTATCTATATAGACAATGACACTTTAGGAAACTGTTACGAGTATCTCAAAGCTTACTAAAACAACTAATCTAGCTTAATGGGAAAAGAAATCAGGGACAAATTTTATAGATTGTTTGACGCTCAATAGTTTGTTTATTTATTTAATTTATTTTTCAGAGCATTGGCTCTAAAATTCTGCTAGTTTGTTTATTTATTTAATTTATTTTTCAGAGCATTGGCTCTCAAATTCTGCTTCTTGTGCGTAATTTATTTTCTTAAGTGTCATCGTGCATTTGTGCTTGTCAGTTGCTGATTAGTGACCTAAGACTGTGCCATAGTTTGTTAGTATTTTTTCATTTTGATGGGAAAAAAATGCCTGTTTACAACTATTCTTTTTCGTAATACATCAACTTGATTTGCTAGAAGGCATTAACCTACAACATTTATTCATTTTTGTAGAAGTTTTATGGCTAGAAGGATTGAATATCCGTTATAATTTGCTGAAGATCTTAAGAGCATTTAGTTTCTGTTGCATACTGATTTAGTTATCTAATCTCCTCACAGCTGTTGGAAAAGGACCCAGCATTGAGCCGGTTCAAGTCAAGTACACAGACTGTAAAGCGAATTAAAAAAGTGGGGGATGTTCTCACAATCATTGTTGTGGCTGGTATTCTTCTGCTTTCTACTAGTATTTTGTGACATGCTGTAATTTTATTTGGGATTTTTTTTTCTTTCTTCCTATATTTTGGGTCTTTATAGTATTTTATTGCTATCCTTAATTTTTTTGGGCGAAGGGGGGGAGAGTGGTAAGCTGCTGTGAGCCTGTGGCAGACTGACAGATAATGTTTGATAAGCAACAATGACTTGTGCACTACTTACTATCTAAATGAGTGTGTTAATTGGCTGACTGTAGAGTTAATTTTTATGCTGCAAAGCTATTTGGCTGTTTCTGTCTTGTTAAGATTGCTATTGTTTCACTTGCACCCTGCTTGTTATGATCTGTTTTATAGCAAATGTTCTTAATTTAAAACTGGTAAATTCAGAATGCGAAGACTTTTTTGATTATGAGATTAATAAGCTTCAGAGCTTGTAGACACTTGAAAGTTGAAGCAATATAGTCCACTATGACCTTTTAATTTGTGTTGTCTCTTTAATCATTATTATTTGTAAATTAATGTTACTATGAAACTATTAGCTTAGGAAAAAGGATTTGGTTGAGGTTAGACTAGATATTGATTAATTATGGTACGGTGGTACCCTTGCTCTTGTAAATCGAGTTGGTGGTAACGTAAACTTTTGGAATGATTAAATCGCCACTCTGGATACTGGCATCTGAACACTCACTTTTATGTTCTGTTTCTTGCTTGTTTAGACGCTTGATTCTATTAGGCTTCCATTCCCTAGGCTTTTTGTACAATCCCGAGTAGTAAGATGTTATTCAGGGATCATTCTTACCAACTAAAAGGAACTTTCAAATATCTGTCGAAAAGTCATTTTCCTGGTCTTCTTACAAGTTGCTGTGATGCTGTCATTGGAGTTCGTTGGTCTGGCTTCATCATGCACTCTAACCTAATAGTACCTTTTGTTGTCTTGGTTGTAGGCTGTATGTACGAGATCTATGTTAGGCTTACTACCCGAGAGAGCTCCAGGAAGCAGTAAAGCTGAAGTACACAATGAAGCATGAGTTTTTTTGTTACATTCCTGTGATTATGTCTGGTTCTATCTGGTTGCTACTTTGTACCTGAATAAGTAGGCCCAACTAAGTCACCTTCAACTGCTAGTAGCATACATAATTCTTTGGCACTTTGGCTCCTTTCTGTATTCTGAAATTTACAGCTTTTTCCAACATCAATCATAAATAGTTCTTCAGTTTGAAGTATTGGATGAACTGATTAGTGCTTGTTTGCCAAAGAAATAATTTACAGAATGAACGTGTTTCTGGTCTCTATTATTCAGCTTATACAGTTTCGAACTCATGGTTAATGTTGAATGTTATATTTTCCGTCTCAACTGTTTTGCTATAATCAAGACTAACCATAAATTTTCAAGTTACTACTATGAGTATTTATAGAGAATTACTCAGAAACTAAACCTTTTTTTCTTTTTAATAATAGTGGAGTACATTTCTGTTGAGTTGCATATCTTTCTTTCTGTGCAGATCTGATTCAATTGCAAAATGTTACATTAGTACATTAGATACTTTTTTTTTGGCCTTAATTATACCGTTATGCACTCGCGAGTGTCTTGCAGGGTCTATTAACAGACCTTGGTTTGATTTGTTGGGTTTTTTCATGAGGTGAAACAACCAAAAAAGGTGTATATGATTTTTCATCCATATATTGAAAGCGATTTAGGCTCCATTTGTTTTAATGAAAAACATTTTCCAAGAAAATGATTTTTTCATTTTCCATTGTTTGGTTAGTAAATGATGGAAAACAATTATCCCAAAGGTGGAAAATAGTTCTCTCTAAAGTGGAATATTTTTCTTTATAAATAGAGGTATGCCACATTTTCCTCCTCACTCCTTATATTCCTCTCCTCTTATCCATCTTCTCCCTTCCACTCCTATTTTCCCTTCCTTTTTTTCTTATAGGAAACAAACAAAGAAAATTTTACAATTGTGTTTTCCCTTGACTATTATTTTCACGAAAATCATTTTCCTAAAAAACTATTTTCCGTTAAAACAAACGGAGCCTTAATACTACCTTTTACGAGTAGTTGTGTTGGAACACATAAATTGTTAGAATATCATTTTATCCAACATTTTTTATAAACATCCAATAAAAACATCTAATTTAAATCCAACTGGTTAAACTAGTTAGGTGAGTTAATCAACAACCAAACAAGTTTTTCATACATGATCAATTTTCAATTTTTTTTGTCACCCATTAAAAATCGGTGGAGTATGCTTTGAAAATATTAAGAACTATGTGAATTAGTTTGCTTACTATTTGTATGCAATTTATGACAAAAATATATTGGTAGGACGTATAAGAATGATATACATTATACGCCTACTTTCGGCTTTGTAAAGGGGGGCGTGGTAGACAGTTTAGAACTTTTAGTGACACTTCTTGATTAAAAATGGCATTAGTCCAATCTGGCTACTAAGAGTATTCTAATTAAATAATCGAGAGTTTAGGAAATTATTTCAGCTAAAAAGATATTGTGCTCAGTGAATTCCCACTTTGTAGGATTAATTAGACTTTTTTTTTGGGGCACAAAAAGAGTCAAAAAGGGGTAAAATGTTGTGGATGGAACTTGATCTCAACTTTTGGATACCACAACTAGATTAATCATTAAGGAAAGGGAGTAGAACTTCTATTTATAGCTACTCCCTTCGTCCCAAATTACTTGTCCTATGACCATTCGTACAAGATTTTATGTGTGGAAGAGTAAAGAGAAAAAATAGGTGAGTGAGTATGAGACCTAACTCGAGAGTAAATCTAGAGAGAGAAGAGTTCTTTAAAAAAATACCGCGGGTGCAAATAAATTGGGACATCCCAAATTGAAAATGGTGCGACAAATTGGACCGAAAATAATTACTCCAAGTGATAAATACGAAATAAATTAATCTTAAATAAAATCATCGCTTATCCGTTTATCTTATTCTAATTTCATATAATAAGAGCTAATATTATATTCATTCTTTAGACATTATGTTTTCTCCTTAAGCAAGGCACTTTTGTTCCAAAAATTTCAAATGATGAAACCATATTTAGCCCTAAAAGTGCTACTTTGGTGGGAGCCCATAACTTTGCGCATTGCGCCACTAAATTTTAAAATGTGGAACATGACAAATGCCTAATGTTGGATGTTTGAAATAATACTGCTGGTGACAACATATCTTTGTCATTACTCAAATTTGACCTCATTGTTTACCAAACTAATTATCAATTGTATACATGGATGTATAATTCCTCATACAAGTATAAATTTTTGGCAAATTAAATTTTCGGCCATTCTATAACCATAATCATACATAGATTGATAGAATTGATACTACGTAGTTGCTAAAACCAATGTCGCCTTGTCGTTTTGGTCGCAAATCTTAGACACGAGGTCCAGAAGTAGCAAGTTTCTCTTTTAGACTGCTGGTGTAAAACTTGGTTTCAACCGAAAACTTGAAGATGATATCGATTCAAATGCAAAATGAACAACAAACAACCTGTTTTATAGACTTGTGATTGGAAATCAAGCGGATTTCTTTCAGAAATTGATACAGTATGGAAGAACGTCGTAATGTCCAATTAAATTAACAGTTTTGTCTTGGCAATACAGAGCACAACCCGAGAGCAGGCCCCTAGCAACATTTTAGTTCTGCTACATGAAATCCAAAGATAAGACATTATTCGAGTTGATCTCAACTTCACAAGGAGATTCAACATTTCAACATAAACAATTTGCTGTCCTGATAAATGCTTGTAAATCATACACACTTCTGTACTTTAACGGAAAACAGGATTCGAACTACAAGCTTAACTTAGACAGGAACAAGGAGATATATGTTCTGCAAGTATAATAATCAAACCTCTTTACTTCTTCAATTTGTAGTCCTTCTTCCAAAGCTTCAACTTTATGACTTCATCCTTGTAACGCATACCTTTTTCATTGTAAGAATCATGGGGTTTAACGCTCCGAACAGCAGCAGCAAACTGATGCGTTCTTGCCTTATCAATTCCAGCACAGCAAATGATGTCGGGTTTAAAGCAGAAGACACGAACAGCAGGCGGAACTGGCAACTCAACTTCATGGCTGTAACCCAGTTTTAGGCACAACAGGCGACCATCTGCTTCAGCTCTGGCTTTGTAACCAACTCCTAGTAGCCTTAGAATTTGGAAATACCTTGTTTCCATTTCATCTGACTAAATTCAAAATTAACAGACATAAGAGATAAAACCATACACAAGTTTTTCTTCACCTCCAAATGAAAATCTAGTACAAACACAGCCAGCCACTGCATATTGGTTAAACATGGGTATGAATCGGGTTCCCAAGCTAAAATTAATCGGAGTTACAACACTTTCAAACACCTGTAACTGACTTAATCAAAGATTAAAACTTTTCTATACCCAAAAGTTTGAACAAAGTTTAACTTTATTGTACATTATACTTTCATTCCACTTTTTGTGATTCTAAAACATGAAATTAGAGAAACAACACAATGCATAATCTTCAACAAGCATTCTAACTTCCCAAGTTCCGCCACTCACCAGAGAACAAACATATTAGAGTTCGTTTAGTATTACTGTGCTTTTTAATTTTTTGGTTTTTTGTTTTTAAAATCATATGCTATATTACATACAGTATAATGAATCAATAATTAGTCAAACTTATTAATATCATGATATTTTTAAAACTGACAACAGAATAGAGAAAACATCTTTTTCTTGTTTTCTGTTTTTGGTTTTTTGTTTTACAAAAAAAAAAAACTAAAAACGAAAAAAACGATGCCAAACAAATTCTATTACGTTTTTGGTTGTTTATTTAAAAAATAATAATAATAAAATAAAATAAAATAAAATAAAATAAAATAAACTGAAAACTAAAAACTAAAAACAAAAAAACAATGCCAAACAAATTCTTAATTACAAAATTACAACTTTCATCAAGCTGGAACACTCAGTATAGATACATTGTTTATACTCCCTCCGTTTTTTTTATAAGCTAGAGTTACTATTTTCATCCGTTTTTTTTATAAGGTAGAGTTCCATTTTTGGAAATCTCCTATAATTTAATAATATATCTTCATACACTAATGTCCTCACTCTTTCTTACTTTATCATTTCCCACTTTTCCTATAATCCTCACTTTCTCTCACACCACTTTACTTTCAATAAAATAATAACCTTATTTACCACATTATCATCTTATTTTATTAAATCTCCTAAAAGTCCGCGCAATCCCATCTCTAGCTTATAAAAAAAACGAAGGGAGTACATTATAAGCAGAAGGTTTAAGGCCTTATTTAAAATGCATACATCAGTAAGGGTGTGTTATATTTACCTGATTTTCACTTTTTCAGAACTTATTTGATCTTATCTGAACTTACCAAAAAAATTTAGTTGTAATTTATACTTGGATAACTCTTATTAGAACTTATTTTTTTCTGAATTGAATTTATCTGAACTTAACTTAACTTAATAAGTAAAAATAAGGTGAACTGAACAAACCCTAACTCACTTTTATACTCCCTCCATTTTTATTTTTTTTTATCCATTTGGAATGTCTCAATCATAGAACCAAATCTTTGACCTATAATCGGACTAGTTCCAACATAAGACCAAATAAAAAATGATTAAAACATTCAATACTTTCAAGTATTAAATTATATTCTACAAATTTTCAACTTTAAAGCATTCTTGTACATCACATCATCATCCGTTCATCACTAACCTGAAGAATAGTGATTAAACTATCCTTTAATAGTTGATCACACATACTAGCAACTACAAAATCATAATAGCTACAGTATTTAGGATTAAATAATTAATCAATATCGACAAAAATTTGAAAAAGTATCATATTATCAATCACTAAGATTTAAGCTACAAAAAAAAATAAAAAAAAATAAAAAAAAAATAAAAAAAATCACATCAAAATTATCCTTCTGATCAATCTGAAATCAAATAAATTATGGCAATTCGTACATGAGAAATTAAAAAAAAAAAATCAATATAAATTTCGAAATCTAGACTGATTAACAGGCACTAGTAAGCTATAAAAAGAAAATTATAAAAAAAAAAATAAAAAAAAAAGTGAAATTGTGATCGATATTGGCTTACCGGAAGACTGTTGCTAAGCAGTGTCGAATTGCCGGTGAGAAGAAGTGAGGATTTCAGGGGTGTAGGGTTTAGATGTATGGCTGGAGTAATGTTGAAATTAAGAAAATCCTATTATCGGTTTTATTTTACTTGCGTCATTTGACCTAATAAAATTGTCAACAAAAACCACCCAAACCGGCAAACCCATGTCATTGGTTTTATTTTACTTGCGTCATTTGACCTAATAAAAGTTATAAAACCCTCGTGTTAATGAGATCCTTCAAAAAATAAAAAATACTCTATAAAAGAGATTGATCAAGTTAAATTCAACTTGCCTTAATAAATCGTTGCTTATTATTATTTGTTTACTAGATTAAGTCCCGTGTTCTGCACGATTTTTATAAAATTTTATAACTAATTATAATGTAAATTCAAAATTTACCGAAAAACAATACTCATATTTTAAAAAGAAAAAAAAAATGCATAGTACATTTTATATTTCATTTTAGATTAGTATTAAGGTTAGACTATGAGCTTTTATACTACTCCTTATAAAGTATGAAAATTTTGGATTAGTACTCGTAGCACAATAAACTCATATAAAGATATATCTTTTGTATTATTGATAGATTTTCACCGGCACACCATTTCATGAAAATTTATTTGATTTTATTTTACTTTATGATATTAGAAATCAATTCATGTTGATGCTATAAAAACACATGTTAGGAGTTAAAAAGTAAACCGAGCACAAATCTTTGGCTCATTATGCATAAGTTATTCATAACATGCACTTAAAACTCGAAAATTGAGACTAGTTTACCAAATCCTGACCCACCCTATGAGAGCAAAATCATTGGTTGCCCAAGCCAATGGTGGTCATCAAATATATAAATATATAATACATATATCTCTCTCTTCCACTTCATTCATGCCCAATTCTTATACTCAGTTATGTCCATATACTTTCATTGGTTGCCTTGGTCATAAATATCTTATGCACATAAAACACTTAAAAATATTAAAAATAACACTATAGGCCAATTATTACAAGACAAGTGGCGCATCCTCGTCTTTTTCCCACCTTTTGCTAGAGGTCATGGCATTTCTCTCTCCAAAAATACTATTTTTTGTATTTTATTATATTATTTCATCTTCTCTCTCTTCATGCCCATTATAAAAGGGCAACGGATGGCTATACTCTTAAAATGACCTAAACGTGTACATAGTTCAATTAAAAATTGATTCAACATGATTTGAGCCAAATAAAAACCAAAAAAATTTAAGTGTTGATTTCAAAAGCGCGGACCCATCATACTGTATATTACTATAGATAAACAAATTACAATACCAATAAATTTTGATTGAACAACCTGAACCCAACCCGATCAACCTGCCACCAATTTGCTAGAAAGTACACGTACACTATGCCTATGACTATTATCTAAAATGACAAAAATAACCCCAGGTCAGCAGTGGACATGAGAGGCATTAAATTTTGCAGTTTTTGAAAATAAGTTTAGTCTGAGCTGTAACTCCAACATAAGCAAACTTTGTCATAATCTCATAAGCACCCAAAGTCATATTTTACACAATAAAAGCAGAGCAACAAAAAGTCCTCCAAATAAAGAAATTTTAGAGAGAGAAAGAGGTAGAACAAAAGAAAAGCATCAAAGAAAAGAAAAGTTTACAAGTTTTGTACTTCAAATTTTGTGGGTTTTTTGTGAAATTAATCACAGAATCAAAGTGTCAGGAAATAAAAAACATGGCAAGTTTTGGAGGAACAACTCAGAAGTGCAAGGCCTGTGAAAAGACTGTATATTTAGTTGATCAACTTACAGCTGACAGTAAAGTTTATCACAAAGCTTGTTTCAGATGTCATCACTGCAAGAACACCCTCAAGGTTTATATCTTTATATTAATGGAAACTTTAATTTGCATTCATTTCTATGTTATTTATGTAGGTGGACAACCTGAATCATCCTTTCGAATTTGATTGTTAATGTTTATTGAATGGTTATTTCATTTCAATTCTTTTCTAGATGAACAACTTGAATCACCCTTTCGAATTCGATTATTAGTTTTGCTAAATAGATTAAAAAAGGTATTGTATACCCAAAGTTTTATCTCTTGAAGATGTTGATCATGTATTCTCTGATATTATTGTTTAACCATGTAAAAAAAAAATCGGTCAAGATTTATTTATTTTTGATTAATTTTCTTTTTTTGAGAGTTTTGGGGTAGGTAAGATGATTAAACCATTTTTTTCCCTGAATTTATATTGTTTGGGTTTTACTAAAAAAAAATGATCTTTTTGAATTCAAAGAAACTTTATTTATATTAACTAGATTGAATTTGATTAGGTTCCAAAGAGGGTTGTGGATCAATAATAGGTTTCTAGATTGGTGGAGTGTTGAGTTTTTGAAATCCACTGTAATAATGACAGTTACTTTACTGTTTTTAATGTAATTTAAGGTTGTTACAGCTAGATTATACTGGATGCTCAATAAAGTATTGGAAGTGGTACTATAAAGATCAATTTTTTTCAATGAAGATCCCTCTCCATTTAATTTCCAATTGACTACACCCAAGCCTGGTATGATCAGGCCAGATAAACTTGATTGGCTTTACTCTAATTAGTCTGAGATAGTAGCATTTTTCAAAAAACTTTAAGGTTAAGATTGACAATGATTGAGCTTATCTGTTTCAAATTGTTTCATACAAACTTATTTTCATTAGTCTGGATTATATTTTTGCCTGATAAAAGCTGCATTTAATTTGCTATTGTTTTCCTTTTGCAGCTGCACAATTATAGCTCCTTTGAAGGGGTGTTATATTGCAAGCCTCACTTTGATCAGCTTTTTAAGATGACTGGTAGTTTGGACAAAAGTTTTGAAGGTGAACTGCTTTCCTCTCTATGGTTTCTCATATGCATCGCAGTAACAACAATTTAGTAACGCTTTTGTTGCTTTTACTCTTTGCAGCTGCTCCAAGAGCTGTTAGGGAGAGATCTTCTGAACAGGTAATATGGTTAAACTTAAAGTGGCTTATTTCTTGATGTTTCCTTTCCTCTTTTTATTTTTTTCGAAAGAAGTCTATTTTTCTAATTAGTTAGGGAACTAACTAGAAATATCCGTCCTGAAAACCTTTAGTAAGCAAACTGTAGCTATACAAGTTAGGCTACTATCAACATCTGTAAACCTTTTAGTCAACAAACTGCTATGCAATTAGCCGGACTCTATGAGAAGGCCTTCTGCCTCGAATCTTAGAAAAGGTTTAATTGGAGGAAAAAAATTGTAGCAGAAGTAAGTTTATTGTCTTTATACAACAATTATACAGTCTATTCTAAATTGATGATCTGACCAGGGTCAAACCAGTAGCAAAGTCTCTAGCATGTTTGGTGGTACTCAAGAGAAGTGTGTCTCATGCAAGAAAACAGTGTATCCAATCGAAAAGGTGAGACTTGAATTTGATCACTGTAACTTCTACATTTCATTTCATTACATTTTTCTTTTTTGAGCAATTTCATTTCATTACATAGCTAAAGCTTTCTGAGCATTGAATGGTAAATTTGTTTCGGCTTTCAGGTGGCAGTTGATGGCAATTCTTATCACAAGGGATGCTTTAGATGCTGTCATGGAGGCTGTGTTATCAGCCCTTCAAATTATGTAGCCCATGAGCATCGTCTCTACTGTAGACACCATCACTCCCAGCTGTTCAAACAAAAGGGTAACTTCAGTCAATTGGCAACTCAACATCATGCTAATGGAATTTCTGATGGGATTACAAATGGAGTTTCTAATGGGGTTACAAGTGAAGTTACAAATGGTGTTGCAAACGGAGTAGCTGAAGGGGTGACTGAGAACACAGTAGCCTCGGCCTGAAAAAGCCTTTTATGCTTATCTTTATAATGTAATCTTTGCTTCAGAAGATGCTACTTCTGTAATTCCAGAGAGAAATGCAGCTTGCTGAGTAATGAGCATAGTACTGAGAGAATTTTCCCACGCGTGTTTTATACAAATTTCAAGCATAAACAATTTATACTAGTGTTGTGTTTCTTGCCTTTGAATTCTTCTCTTCTCGAGTGAATTTTGTAGCATCAGTGTGATTGTTAGGCTGTTTATGAACTGTTTGTTTATCAGCTTTATTGAACTTGTGAGAGAAGTCGTGAAAACTAGGAATTGTATGTAGTACACAATTTGTGTTATAAATTTCAAAATAATTATATAGTCTCCCTCCATTCCTGAATAGGCCATGTCTGATCCGTTTATTTTATACTTCATACTTCATATATTGTTTATATTGTCTTACATATAAATGAAGATAAAACTTTGAAAGTCTATTATTATAAACCAATGAATCCGGTATATGTTAGTTCTGTTCTTGAATCTGGTAGTTGTGCTCTATATAATCTGGTAGTCGGGCTAAAGGAACTCTTATCTAATTTGAAAAGAGTTCACATACAACTTGTGCATCATATAATAGCTATACCGATAAATACAATATCTGACATACAGAGTACATTGCAACAGAGGAATTCTTCTATAATGGTATACCTACTTGGGATAAATACGTAATTCAATATAATTTCGGCGAGATCATCTCTTTTAATTATAAAACAGACGTAACACATGAAGGCAACATTGATTATAAGTATATTATAAATGCGAGTCAATAGCCAACACAAAATCATCAATTGGCTTTCAGACAGTTGCTACATAGAATAAGAGAAACGATGTTTCCTCGTGCAAAATTATATGAACAAAAGTATCACAGGCTTACAGCAAATACGTATTCTTCTTTGTGAGTTAGAAGACTTAGAACCCAGCCCAGCCAGCTGGTTGAGAAGCTGTATTCTTGCTTGCTAACTTATTTGAATCCCCAAAACGTAGGGAAGTACTACCTTCGCCAGATCTAGAGATCCAAGAGGTAGCAGCAGGAATTGCAGTGAAGCTTTCATTTTCAAATCCCCATCCATCTTGGGTTGATCCAGCTGAAGCACCTTGCTTGCTAGAGTGACCATTCCTAGTCCTAACAGATTTAGATGAATCAGCTTGAGATGTCGGTGAAGGGGCAAATGCTTGCCATGATTTCAATTCTGGGCTTGTGGAATTTTTGTCAAACAAACCTTGTTGGAGCTCCAACACTGTGCCTTCGTTTTTTGCTCTCTAACATGATCAAAGTAAAATAAGTTAAAACCAAAAAAAATCGAACCGTTACTGTACTACAACTAGTTATACTATAGATCTCCATGAAGGAAAGATGTGTGAACGTCCAAAGATGTTTCATACCAAGATGAGTAGCTTTTTAAGTGACTCATAGTATTTCGAAAGTTAAGGTTTTCTGGAAGACAAATTGATACTATAAGGCTTATTACCAATAAAGCTCTCCTCGCTGTCAAGGAGGCCTTTTTGTGTGTGTAAGAAGGGTGGGGTAGGGATTGCTACCTGAGAAGTAGCGGCTTTACTACTGGAGGATGGTTGATTCCTGATAGACTCCATTTTAGGTGAAGGAGTTCTGGCAGCCAACGCCTGCTTCAGCTCCTGTAGTTCTTGTCTCTGTGATCGACAGATTGCAGTAAGCTTCTCATACTTTGACGTAATCTCTGCCTTCTCTGCATTAGCTTGCTTCAATTTCTCCTGTAGTCTATCTATCTCAGCTTCCAAGGAGTTATCCTTCTTTGATTTCAGGTCATTGCCAGTAGGACTGAGTTTAGATGTGTCAAAATCAGCAACAAAGCTGTTGAAAGCCTCATTCTCAAAAGTTGAGGCACTACAAGACTTCATTGGATTAGCCTGACTATTTTCCCTTCCAGAAGGGCTGGCTTTACCAGGCAAATTATATTTCTCTGATCGGCTCCTATTTTCTTTCCGGGTAGGCTGTTCATCATCAAATTTTGATACACTTCTTTCCTCTGGGACAAGAGTATCCTTAGCATGCTCTGTTGACCAAAAAGCACCGCCTACAAGCCCACCCCTAGTAGTGTTTGAAGTCGACAAATTAGTTGCTTCACTTGATGATGGTACAGGTGGCGGGCTTCTCCGAGGCACTGGATTTGGAGTCCTAGACATAATCTTGGAGATACCTAGTGCAGCAGAAAGGGTTGTCACAAATTTAAAACTTCAATGAGTTATGTTCGAATTTTATAATATTAGCTGATGTAAAACCCTATAATCTCAAAGGACAAACTTTAACATATTAGAATGAATAATATCTGGTTAACACCAATCTTTAAACACATCTACATGAGTGACAGCTGAATACCTTCAGTTATGTCAGAAGCTGTTTCACGCATATGAGGCGGCCGATCAGGTAATGACTTCTGTGATCCGACAGGCAATTGCTCATTGACACGAAACCAGACCTATAATCATGAACACCACAATCAGAAAAGCCCCTTAACACCACTGACAATAGTGCTAACTATTAAGAAAACAGTACCTATATCATCGATACTGATGATCTAAACTAACCTAAGTTCATGGAGATGCCAATCAAGCTAAGTGCTTGCCTGTGTGATATCTGGTCTGGACTCTGGGGAAGAGTTGAGCATGTCTCGGATTAAATCAGTGATAGGCGCACAGTATTTTGGTAAATCAGGGATACAGTAATTTCCATTCAGAACCTGAAGCTTTGACTCGCCATCAAATGCTGATTTGAAATAGCAAATACGGTAAAGCAAACAACCAAGAGCCTAGCAAAAGCAAGGAAATATAAATTAGATGCTAACTCATAAAATTTACAAGATTGTAACAATACAGTTTCATGCTTATAGACAAACAAGTGGAAAATCAACTTACCCAAATGTCCACTTTCTCGCTAATGAGATCTCTTCTGTACAGATCCCACATCTTCCAGACAAGAAAACATGAAAATGTCAAGTTTAGATTTTGATTTATAATGCAAAGTACGAATGCATGAAAGTACTTTCAACCTCAGGCGCTCTATAAGCAGGGGTTGTGTGCTTCCTTATGTTGTCTTCTTCAATTCCCATTTCTTCAGGTTTTTCAAAGCGCTTGTGATTGGTAGAGGTGCTTCCAAAGTCACACAATTTCCATAGTCCATCTGAGCCCAGCAAAAGATTCTCTGCCTTTAAGTCACTGAATTACATAATGAAGGAAGAAGAAACAGTTAGCAGTGGGCAGTTGGACACTAAAATGAAAAAAGTGACAAAAATAAAATCTAGCCAACTGCCATTCTACTTTTCAGACACTACAAAAGAAACTATTACCGCATTACCAAACCTGGGTGTGAAAAGAAGTGAAGAGGACTTAAAGACAATAAATTATTTATATTCACAAAGAAATTTAAATTGATAAGTTTTATGAGAAAACATGTAAGCATATCACAATATTCATTTTTGAGAGCCACAAATAGCCATGCGATGCGGAAGGGTTTCAGATTTGAGTCTTAGGTGCCACGCAAGAGTTTATGAGCCAGGCTAGCTACCATGAACAGCAGAGTTTGTTGCTAGAATAAGGAATGACTTTAATAATGAATCAAACAATAACCTGGCATAAGTACATAACCAATCATATACACTGCTTATTACCGGTGGGCAATTGGTGGAGAATGGCAGTGCATTGCAAATACTGCATTGCAAACATCCCTGAAAATTGCCATGATTTGTTTCTCTTCAAAGTAACCAGTTCCCCTACTCTCCAAGACATTTACCAGAGATTTCTCACAACATTCCATCACAAGAAGTGCTTCTTTCGTCCTACCCATGTCCAATATAGTATGAGAATAAAGAGTAACTACATTAGGATGTCCTTTGAGAGATTTCATCACTTTAATCTCCTTCATTACTAGGTCCATTGATTCCTGGTCATTGCATATGATATGCTTTAGAGCATACTGCTTTGATGCATTCGATGCATCCTTAGCCAAGTAAACACAAGAGAATCCTCCCTCAGCAATGACATTCTTGATATGAACTTTAATGTCACCGACATCAAAAAAGCGGCCCTCAAGTCCTGTTGGTTCTTTCTGTGCAAAGGGCTTAAACTTCCACATGGTTGATGCTCAATACAAGTGATAAAGCACACTGCAGGCATACACAAAAGTTAAATTGTGAGGATTAACCATCCAATAATGCTGTAAACTTCTTCATCTTAGGAAAATTTACAGCTACATACAAATACATCACAAGCAATGAAGTTCCTGCTGCCGATTCAACAGAGAAGAAAGTATATATATATATATATATATATATATATATATATATATATATATATATATATATATATATATATATATATATATATATATATATATATATATATATATATATATCAATCAATTAGATCACACCAACATCAATATTTCACCAGGCAGATAAATTAAAGATGATGAGGACATATGAGAAGTGAAAAGGAAACGTTATAGAAATTATGTTCACCTATCTTAGGAGCCTAAATGACTAAATCACAGACTGTTTATTGATAAGCCATTTCCCAAGGCCAACTGGCCAAAATACTATATCTTCCTGGCATTCTTTACTTGAAAGTTAGTAAGTTAAACAAGATGTTAATATGTTATGTGAGTAAATGTGATATTTACATACTGATATTGTTTGAATTAATTTATAACTCAGTACTTTTTTTATATGATAAAGGAAAACAGCTAGAGGACAAGGTGTCCTTGTAAAATTTCACAAAATTTAATTATACATTAGCCCAGTTCCTTTGTATCTCCACAATGGAATAGTTGTGAAAGCCCCACCTCCATTTGTCCACAAAGATGCTAACAAAGAAACTACATTCCATAATCTAACACAGGAAGCAGCACCTCCATTAAAATTTTGTGCATCCCCTTCTAACCAATCAGTCCACATGATAGATATTATAACATTCACCACAATATCTTCCTCTCTTTCCTCTCCCTTCTAAGCCCCATAAATCGAATTGCAGCCATTATCATAATTTCAGCTGTATGACGATGGTACTCTTGTCCATCTAGTTACATACAGACAGGATGGTTCCAAACCAACCTTACATAAACTCTCCTTTTCTTTTCTCTTTTTTCCTGAAACCAATAACCCATCCAAAACACCCTTTTCCATAATTAAGTGCTACAAGTCCTATGAGGTGCACGTATTCGTTACAACAACATACAACAATAGTTCTTCCCTTCATATAGCGTAAACTACTTGGTTAAAAATCAAAATTCATTTCTTAAGAGTAAAACCCCAATTTCCATCAAGATTTGGTCTACTATCCTTCAACACATATAAGTCGCTAGTTAAG